GAGCTGGTCGACGCTGCGGCCCTTGTGCATGTGCAGCGCGAGGTCGCCGGGCTCCATGGTGATGTGGTGGCTGGAGGTGCGCTTGTGGCGCGAGTCCGCCGGCTTGAGGTCGCGGGAGCCGGTACGCCGGTGACGCAGCACGCCGCCGCCCTCTATGAGCCGCTTGGTCTCGTCGTCCGGGGGTTTGGCGAGCGGCAGCACGGTGAGGTCGAGACTCTCCATGCTCTTGATAGCGAGCTGCTTGAGCTGGTCGAGGCTGAGGTCGCGCGAGTTGTGCCGCGAGTGCGAGCGCGCTGCGTCGCCCGAGTGGTGTCTCGCGCGCGGCTCCAGCTGGATGGTCTTGGAGTCGTTGCGCAGATGGCGCGAGGCGACGAGCACGCGCGAAGTCTTGCCGTGGTGCGAGTGGTGGGAGTGATGCGAGTGCTGGGAGTCTGTGCGGCGCACGACGGCGCGCGGCTCCTCGCCCGCCGCGCCCGGGGGCTCCAGCGGCGTGCTGGTGGTGGAGCTGTGGCCCGAAGTCACCCCCGACCGGAACCCACTCGTGTTCTCCGCCGTCGGTAACTCTTCAAATACTGCAAATTAGTATAAACGGGTTAAAAAAGAAACATAGTCTATTTACTATTACTTGCTTTGATTAATAATTCTAATTTGAATTAATACGAACGTTTGTCCAGACTGATGATGGAGCCCGCTATGTCTTTCTGTGGGTCGAGCGGTGCTGAGGTCTCGAGGTGCCGGCGCCTGCGCACCAGCCACCAGTCCGCCAGGAATATGCCAAGGGCGACGATCTTTATACCACCACATAAACCGACGTATCTGAAACATATTTTATTCAATCATATAAATAAAAAAATGTCTTTATTAATCTCCAATGTGTCGCTAGATGCTGCTGTGGTTTGAAATAAATTTAAACAATATGTAGAATTGAGTTTAAAGTGTCAAACATCCTGAAACCAATATTTTTAACAGCGCACCTGTAACGGAATTGTTCTATGTCGTACAGCAGACAGCGTCCGCCCTTCTCCCCGCCGCAGGATTGCTTCCACAGCAGACAGGTGGAGTCGATCAGATTCCCGAACACGATGGGTGCCGGGATGTACCCGAACAGCCGGAAGATCACGAACTGCATGCCCAGAGCGAACGAACGCTCCTCCTCGCTCACCGATCTAAAACAACGTACAGCGTTGGATCATGAAAACTTAACGTTAATAATATTTCTTTTGTCATAAACTTATGTTAAATGCATTAAAAAGTTAATTAGTGTAATGTAGTATTACCTGAGTACGATCATAAGAAGCGGCATCTGTGTGACGGCCACGACGAAGGTCATGAAGAAGAGCAGCACGAGGAAGGGGAAGATGGTGGTGCAGGGCGGGTTGCATGCGCCCGCAGTGGCCACCGGCACCACAGTCACGTCGCCGAACTGCGCCGTCAGCGCCGCCGCAGAGGCCCCGCCCACCAGCGTCGCCCCGCCTGCGCCCGCGCCCGCGCCCGCACCCGCACGCGCTGGCTCGCGGCTGTTCTCGTGCACGCCTGGAAAATGCACATACTCTACAGTTCCATTTTTTTTAATTTGGTCAAATATAACAGTTAATACACTAATTAGCTGTCGCCCGCGACTCCGTCGACGCGGGTTTTAAAAAAAACTTAATAACTAGCATATGTGCTCTTCCGCACTATGTTCTATGTGTCAAAATTCTATCGAAATCCATTAAGCTGTTTTATAGATACGTGGTAAACATCCATCCATCCAAACATTCGCATTAATAATATTATATGATTAAGGGTTTAATAAGGGCAATAATTGGTAGACTTCCGATATAAAATGTACACTCAGAAAGACAATTAACAATTCTGAGTGCGACAGCGATTGTCATTTAACTCAAGGAATAGTGTGGGTGTTGTGTTAGCTCACAGGCGCAGTTGGTGAAGTTGGATCGCGAGGAGAAAGCAGCGCAGCCGGCGTGGCAGGGAGAGAAGTACGTGAGGCCGTTGTTGCCGCACACCGGCTCCATGTCCGTCTCCGTGCACAAGCAGTTGAAGTTGCACGCCGCAGTCAGGTTCACTTTGAACGGCTCCAAGTTACTGAAACAACAAATATATTTAAAATAGCCGGAACGGAAGAGACGAAGTGAAGACCATTTTAGAGTTTTTATGCTATTTGTAAGAAGGGTGTAAGGAAGATAATGTTGGTGTACCTATTGTTGGTGTAAGGTATGGTGGTGCCGGCCATCTTGATGTTGTCGCAGCCGAGGAAGAAGAGCAGGGCGTAGCAGGAGAGGCAGATGGTGTTGGAGATGAGTACGAACTGCACGGCGCCCTTGGGCCGCAGCTCCAGCCGCTTCAGCAGGCACCCACCCATGAAGATGCCGATACACGCGCCCGGGATCGCTATCGAACCTAGAATATATCAAATTTTTATATAAACTGCTTACCGTAGGTTTCTGAGACCTCGTAATTTAGCGTTATGTATTGTTGTGATGGTATCTCGTACCTGTGAAGACGCTGGCCTGGCTCTTGCCGAGGCTGAACTGGGTCTCGAGGTACTTGGGTAGGAAGACGACGAAGCCGGAGACGATCATGAGCTCCATGCAGGCGCCCAGGCACGTCACCACGTACAC